CCCCAAAACCCCAAAACCCCAAAACCCCAAAACCCCAAAACCCCAAAACCCCAAATTGGTAAAGTTTTATTGAATTTTACATAAGTGTCGCAACTGCCTAGGTACTGTTATCTTCTGCTTGGACTATCTCTGCTAATCCATGTTCGGCAAATCAGCTGGGCAACTGCCCAGGCGAGCTGCCTGGCACGTTGACTAGCTTGATGAGTAACAGGCTAGGAATTTTAGAGAGCAGTCTGCACAGTGAGGAGAGGAACAGATCGGATTGGGGTGAAGAGAGGGATTGGGGATTCTTGGGGAGTCATGAGGTGAGAGGAGACTAAGGTAAATTTTAGTGTGAAAGAGAAAAAGTTGATTGAGGTAGTTTGTCAAGCTTTTAGTGGTCTTTGTATATATAAGCTCTTTAAGTTGTTTTCTTATAGTTTTTATGCTTTTTATATTCAGCTTAGCAAAGGCAAACAACTCTGTTAAAAATCTAGACCCTTACCTGAATTTGAGACCTCTTAGGCTGAAGTAGCTTCGCTTCCATCTGGAGATTTCAGACAATTCGTATGAAACTCGAATGTCTCAAATTGTAGAAGTGGAATACACTCTTCTATCTCTGAGGAAGGTCACAACAAGTTTCAGTTGTATAACTTCAAGGTTTCCAGCTTGCCGGCAGTCTCGAAGATATGGAGAAGGTCCGAAAAAGATATGGTAGCCGCAGAAATAGTGAGCTTCTCATCAATTATAGGGATAAAGATATCCAATAACCTGAGACTTACTGGCTCAAATGTTTGGAAGCCAAATTCATCAAATTTAATGTAATTTAGTGAAGCATACTTAAATCTCCCTTCTGGGTCATAGTCCCTGAGAGAGGCTTCTGTGATCATCCATGTATTCCAAAGGCTAATTTCAACATTTTCTTCATCATTGAAGTTAATTGTATTTAACACAGCTGCTTCGTCTTTTCATCCTACAGAATAGATAAGATTTTTTGCAAGAAAGTTGTACAAAAAGCCAAGACTTACTTTCGCAGTTAATATCTTTCCATTTTAGCTCAACTTTCCTCTGGTCGTACTCTATCATCTTTTGGGCATATTTCTCGACATCTAGCTGGTCTCTTCCTGTGAACTATACAGCATGTTAGTTCGCCTTGAGTGGTTAGCTAGTAGAATTTGTCCTGCCCGGATGTCAAATTTAGGCAATCAGGTGGAATTTTAAATACACAAAAGTGCATACCTTGGCAAGATTGTATAAGTATCTGTAATTATTGACAACTTTATAGATAAGGGATTGCATTTGGCCTAAATTACTGTTAGATCACATTTGGACAATTTGGGTTACCTTCTCCTTCTTTACCTAATTTCATGATCCCGATATGATTATGGAAGTAACCATCACTAGAGTTATTACATAATTCCTACCTGTTCATAAGCAGATCTGAGTATTTATTTAAGCTGCTCTTGTACTATTTCTTTGCAATTTCAAGGATGAGGAGAGGGCTTAAGTAGATCTTGAAGAGAGTCATTACTTTCTTGTATCATCTTTTGACCATACTTAAACTCTTCCCTTAAGCTATCCACGATATCTAAATTAACGTCGTTAAGAGTTATTAAAATTCGATATTGAACATCCGATAACATTCTGAGCCAAATTTGAAAGAAACTCTTGATAGAATTCCATCAGAATTTTTAAGAAAGACTTCGCTTACCTTGAATCTGGTCTTTTGAATACTTGCTTTTGGCCTCTTCTACCAAATTAGAATGATTTTTACCATCAATGCTCATCTCATAATTAGAGAGTCTTGATCTTTCCTTAGATTGTTCTTGGTAAACCTGCCTTTTTACATCAGTGTTCAGAGACATCTCCTCAGGAGAGGACTTTACCATGGAATCAGTAGTTATACTTTCAATCTGGCTTAGTCTGTTAGAGATAGATTTAATGCTCGAATTAGTCACAGAGAGGTCACAATCTAGATTACAGCTTTAGAGGCTGGAGGATTACTTTCCAAAAGAAATCTGAAAGTTACCTTGGTCAATAAATTCACTTGTGTTCACAAAATTTTTCTCAGGGATCTTGTAGGCACTATTCTTGTCCGATGGATCATCACTGACATTAAAGTTACTGCTGCTCTCTGAGGAAGTCTCTTCCTTGCTCTCAGAGATTTGGGTCGGATTATCAATCTTAGTTTTTCCCTGGTATCTACATTGATTTAGCAAACATATTTTTAATAAGATATCAATAGGGTTTCCACCAAGTTTAGGGCTGCTGAGATAATTACGATTGCATCTAGAAAATCTCTTATTTGCATTAATCCTTGAAAAAAATGTTGTATATTTTCGGTTTTGATTACTTACTCAACCTGTCCAAAACTCTCTGAAGAGGGAAGATTTCCTTGACTCTGATCATCCTTATCAGACCCTGAGGTATTTCCTGGATTTCCCTTCTTGCCTCTATTCCGTGTTGAAAAGGTTGTATCAGAGGGAGTTTCGTACCGGAAGAGCTCCTTGTGGCATTGTAGGTACTCCTCATTGGTGACATCTCCCTTCATAATGCTATCATTCTGTTTGACAATTGTTTCCATATTCTTTATTATTTGTATTATTCAGGCCCTATATTTTATCATGGGGTTTTGGGGTTTTGGGGTTTTGGGGTTTTGGGG